AGCCCAGCCGCCCGGGCTGGGCGCGACCCCGGCCAGCAGCGGCACGGAGAGCGGGCGGAGGCGCGGGCCATGCTGAGGCTGGCGCCAGCCGGGGCCCGAACCATCGTGGACATGTCGTACGCTCGCCACTTCCTGGACTTTCAGGGATCCGCCATTCCCCAAGCCATGCAGAAGCTGGTCGTGACCCAGCTGAGCCCCAACTTCCGCGAGGCCGTCACCCTGCGCCGGGATTGCCCGGTGCCGCTCCCCGGGGACGGAGACATCCTCGTCCGGAACCGGTGAGCCGGCACACCCCTCTCGCCCCAGTCCCCTGGCCCGGTCCCTGGCCCGCGCAGCGCCGCTCCTGCTGTCCCAGGCCCGCCGCGTGCCCACACCCCGGAGCGCGCTCAGGCGCACAGCCTGAGTTGGCGAGATCCCGGGAAGTTGAACCCGCCGCCATCTGGCGAAGGCGAATGTAATGCGACTTGCTAGTATGAATATCCGATGCCACCGAATGTCCTCATAACTGAGGGTTATTTTAATTTGGGATTCCCCTCCCCTCCTCCAACCCTCCCTCCTCCCCCTCCCGCTCCCGAAATAAAACCGACGGGACCCAGAAGGGGAGGCTCCCCGCCGGCCCACCCGCGCGCACCCATAGTTCCTGCGTTGACATAATCTTTAGGGTGGAGAAGGAACAGCCTGGACACAAGCTGCAACGTTTAGGTAAACGTCCTTTAGAGGAAGGAAGCTGGGGACCCGGCTGGCTTTTCCTGTCCCCTACAGGTTGGCAGCCGCCTGGAAATGGCGGAGCCTGTCTTTGGTTGTGTTTGTGTGCACCTCGCCTGCGCTGTCTACGTGTTGTCAGTGCCGTGTGACTGTTATTTGTCCCCTGAGTGTAACGACAGGCGTGCCCTGGGCAGCCGGGCCAGGGCTGGGGTAGGGCATTTTGCAGACTTTTGGGTGACTGACCTTCTGTGTTTTCCATTCCCACGGCACCCCCACCTTAACGTGTTTCGACCTCACTAATCTTTAGTAACTGGTGAAGCTACTGGGACGAAGGAGCCTCACTCTGTGTCAGTCTTGTGCCACTTGGGTCTCTGCTCGGTGCCTCCCCTGGCTGCCCGACCTGGCCGGGGCTAGGTACTGCCAAGTCCCATGAATGGTTACAATGTTGCATTTTTCAGGTTGAATAATCTTATCATTAAAAGAGCTAAGATAAGTTCTGACTGTAACTAAGTCGTAAATCCTGTGCTAAAAAGTACTGTAAGTCCCCTGCACAGGGGACAGAACAAAATGTACCCTTGCTAAGAAGTTTGGTGCAGCGTTTAACTGGGTCCATTTTGGAAACTCCTATCAGGCTTCCAGGTGCCGATCAGACAGATCAAACTTTTGGAAACTTGTTAGGAGCAGTGATTGAATGAACCGTGGGTGGAACTGGGGGGGCAGGGTGGGGAGTGTTACAGACAGTCTTGTGTGTGTATCCTTGAAAATGTTTGCATTTGCCTCTAACCATGGTGCAGAGAATGGCTTCACGATGTGATGAAATTCTGATGCCATGGAGAGTGAGAACGCCCTTCCCAGTTGGAAAGGAGGCTTGAGTGTGTGGGCACATAGAACAGACCAAATGCACCAGTGATTGAAGTTGAGATGAGACCAGACTGAGCAACTTTACAAACACTTCAATGGACACAAAGTTCCCCTCTGGCTTTTTTTTTTTCTTTTATCTTAGTGATAAAGTTTGCTGTTGACTGTGAACGATAATCTAAACAATCTAAACACACACACAACTAGGTGAATGAAATTCCTTTTAGAAACAGGGTATGATAGGGGAGTAGGTCACACAGAGGGGACAGGCTGGGGAAGGTATGAAGATAGGGCACTGCAGGCTACAGCCCACTGGAACCACACTTCAGCTCGGCTGAGCCCGGTCTCCTGGGCCTCTCTACCTGCTGGTGTTAACCAACTCCTGGAATTTCTTTACTCTTTGGGTTCCTCTCCCCTTCCCCTTCTGATCCCTCATTTCCTCCTCCCCCAAGGGCTGCTCTCCCCCATCACGGGTTGGGTAGCCAGAGAGCCCTGGGCAGCCTGCATGGATCACCAGGGTTGGTCCCAAGTCCAGAGCAAGGAGGATCCCTGGATTCAGCAGTAGGGGCCTGGAGCCCTGGCTCCCATGTCTGCACCCCATCAGTTTGGATTACTTTAAAATTCATGCCTTTTTTGTGCCCCCATGGATGCCAACAATCCTGTTAATATAAATAGTATATTTACAAGAGCAACTTAACCTCTAACTTATATCTTGAATCTCTAGCAGAAGAATGGGGACAGTTTTCTTCTAGTTCAGAAGGAGTGCAGAATCTTGCCCCCACCCCTTCTCCTACTCTGTTGGAAAACCTATTCCCACCACCAAATTGTATGAAGATCCTTTATTCTTGCAAACATTGTCAGTGGGAGTGGCACTTTCTGAATTTTTATAAAAATAGAGGTGTAATAATTCAATGAAGGGTTCTTTTTAATCCCAGACTAAATCTCCCCTGAGCAGTGTTAATTGCATTAAATTTTTATTCAAGCACTTCTCATTTTTATCATAATAAAATCTGCTCTAAAGTCAATGGATGAAGCCTAACTTCGCTTGTTTGAAAGGTGTCTTCCCGGTTTAACTGTAATCAGTCGGACTTTCTTTCAGGGAACCACTTCTGTATTTCATTCCACCCTAACAGAAAATACGCTTTCCTCATTCACTGGGAGAGAAGTGCTTGTGAGCTAGACACTGGTTTAAGAAAATGAAGTTTGCCATTTAGAGAAGGTATGAAGGGGGAGTGTAAGACCCCTGTGGAATGTATAATTGATATTCCTTTATCCGGTCCTCACCTTACTGGGCTGAGTCCGGGGGCAAGTTGGGGGCTTCCCCTCTGCTCAGCCCGGAGGGGAGAAAGGGCGGGAGACGACCCCAGGTTAAGTCAGTTTGTGCACTATTTTTAGCTTTTTTCGTAAGAAGGTGACAGACTATTCCGTTTCCAAATATTTCTAACGATTTTCTGCTCAAATTTAAGATAATGGAGCAAAGAGTTTGCGGGAAAGGCGAGGAGAAGGTGGGGGATGGGGAAGGCGTTTTTGATCAACGGTTGTTGCTCACGGAGGGGAACGGTATTTCTGCTGACTCTCCAGGACGAGATTTTTTTTCTTCCTTTTTTCTTTTTCTTTTCTTTATTTTCTCTCTTCTTTTTCTTTTTTTGAAGGACAGTCTGGGCTGGACGACTTTGTTTTGTCCCTCATCATTGGGAGGCTTTTACTCTGGACTTGAGTCTCCTTGTGTTGGTTTTGTGCAGAGGTTTCCCGCCCCTCCGCGGGCTCGCCCAGTTTCACAATAAACATGACCTGGGGTAGCACCCTTTTAGTGTGAATACACTGAATGACCGGACGGGTATATATTTAGGGAATGTCTGCTCCTGTCCCATTGTCTTTCCGGGGTCCTGGATTTTAGTCTTTTGAGCAGATCCCCGTCGGACTGTGAGACTCCTGCGCTCACTACACGCACACGTTTCCCATTAAAGAGGGTACGGCGAGGGTCTCCAAATGAGCACACCCTTCCGAGCGCGTCTATCTGTTCCCCCCATGGCTCCACATCCTCGCCTGTCCCCCGCTTCCCGACCCAGGCCCCCTTCCCTTGGCGCCCGCTGCCTTTGAACTTGTTTCTGGTGGCGCAGAAGGTGCGGGCTTCCGACCCTCGGGCAGCTGCTTCTCAAAGCCCAGGTAAGAACCAGGCGCGTCCGGGGCTGTGACAGGTACCCACCAGCCGCCGAGAGAAAGCAGTATCAGATGAGAGTCCCGGGAGAGGTGAGGGTCCCCGCAGGAGCGGCTAGGAGGGACCCAGGAGAGGGCGCGGGGCGCGAAGCTGAGCGGCTCCGGGCTGTCCCCACCAGCCCGAGCCTCCTTTGCCGATTTAGGAGACGACTGCGCATGGAGGGTGGGGTGGGGTAAAGGACCGAGGTGAGAAATAGCGTAATTTGAGAGGCCAAGGTCACGGTCACGAAGCCCGCCGGCCCTGTCTGGAACCGCAGCGTCCAAGTGCGGCTCTTGCTCAGGACTTAGAACTAGTTCGCCGGGCGGAGCTCCGCGCGGGCTCAGGGAGTAAAGGGTGCAGCCGAGTGCGCTGGCTGGTTCCCCTGGCCAGCCCGAGGAGGCCGAGTTCACGACCTCAGGCCCGGGCAGTGGCCACTCCATTCCGGCGCCTGGCCAATTCAGCTGTAGCATACCCTGGGAGTTGGGGTTGTTGATCGCCCCTCTCCGTGGTGGCAGTGGGGAGGCCGCAAGACTGTATGGGTCGAGCCGAAAGAGGTGCCCCGGCACTTCCAAGGAATTCCGGCCTAGAAGCACTTATTTCTGGCGCCCAACAGGCTGGCCCGGGCGCACCGAGGCCGCCACAGAGGAGATGGCGAGCTGGACCGGTTCGTGGGGCCCTGCATTGGCTCCAGCGCACGCCTGTGCTCATAGCCACGATGTTTGGTGTGATTTTTCAGGCAAAGCCCCCTGGCAAACTCAAGCTGCATCTGATCAGCTGCGGGGACCCCAACTCCCATCATAACCCCCACAGCCCTGCAAACCTGGCCTTTGCTCACCCCGTCCAGCCCGCGTGGCTCTCTGGGTGCTTTCCTCCAGCGCTTCTAGGGACTCGGCAAACCACAGCCTGGGGCGGGGAGAGGGGCAGTCACACTTTCCTCCCACGGAGCCCCCGAGGCAGCCCTCTTGCAAGGTGAGGAGGATGCCACAGGGGCTGGTCTCCACTGGGGCGTCCCTCAGCGCCTAAGTGGGGGGCGGCTCCCCCACAGAGGAGTGGCCTCTCCAGCAGAGACACCCGGAAGGGACAAGCGGGCGGGCGGGGCAGGAGCCTGGGAAGGGTTAATAGCGGGCAAAAGATCTCAGAGAACAGAACTGATAGCCCGGGGTCTTCTGTCCACCCACCTCCGAGGCACCCCCAGGCCCTTTCCCAGAGTTGGCTGTACAGCCCGAGGCAGGAGCATCAGTGCCCAGACTCACTGCAGCTGGACACTGCCCTGGGCTGTGGTGTGAGGCCCAGAAGCAAACTCTGACCCTTGTTAAATACACCAGGCCTTGAGAGTTATGTAAATGTAAAGGAAAGATGGCAGGCCTCGCTCTCTAAAAATAGAATGTAGGCATCTTGGTGTTATGTGCCAAATGAGAAACCAGCAAAAATCATCCCTCCCTCTTCTGGTTACCGTGTGGCGTTTATGGGTTTGGAATTCGGAGGCTGTAACCGAGGCTGTGTGGGGTGCTGACTTCTGAATGGGGCAGAAAGAAATTGTTTCCTGCTTTTATTTCTACACCAGGTAGAGACTTCTCTGTACTGTAGATAATACAGGGGGTAATGACAAGACAGTATAAGCGAAAAGTGTTACCCACAGTATAGCAAAAATGTCCCCTATACAGGGCAGTTTGGCTTTATTAAGTTAAATTACAAGTGAATTCTTTTCAAGGACCTATGTAACAGCTTTCTTCCTACCACCAGACACTGCCACCTTTCACTTCAGTACAGGTGGAAATGACATTTTTAGGGTCCTCCATTATGTGGCTAAGCCACCTCCTGACACTCGGTAAATGGGTTTCCTCCCTAAGAATCAGGATATTTTTGTTATGAGGTATACCAAGGTGAAAAAAAGCTGAGAAAAATATGGGCCTTTGCAATTAAATTGAGTCTGGATACCAAAACGAAAATAATCATCTGGTATTAATCAAGTTGTGTCTCTGCTTCATGTTGGGGAAAAATAGAGTGGCGACCTGCTTTCCTTTTCATCTGAGAAGGACTGTAAAATGTTGAATGTTTCATAACACTCTACCCAATTTTTGTTCAATTCATCAAAATGCATATTTTCATACTGGACATAGTTACATCAGAAAGAAAATTTGCTGCAGCCACTTTAACAATGTTTCAAACAGCCCTGCAGTAACGTGTAGCAACCAGTGACCTTGCACGCTACATCAATCTTTAATAACATCATTGTCATTACTATTATTATCTTAAGTGTTAAATTGTTGCCAGAATCAATACAAGTCTACTTCTTTGAATATATTTTATCCCAGTGTTGTTTTTAACATCTTTGTTAAGAGGCCAATTAATTTCCAACTCACAGCTCCAGTGAAGTTTGTATATAATGAGAGCTTCCTGACTGTTGGGTGAATATGTGCTTATTTCTCCTTTCGAAAGAAAGAGGACGGGCAAAAATAAATGGTGTGTGAAATAAATAACTTGCTGTTTAAGGTGATCTGAAATTATTCCCAAACTGACGAAGGAATAAAATATACCAAAACTGAGTGCAAATCACTGTTGAACTAATACTTGTTTAGTTTCTTTTTTTCATCTGGAAAGCGGGACTAATTTTCTTGAATTCTATCACATTGTACAACTTAGCACCCACTCTATAGTCACTAAACAGGGTGTGGCAACCTTAACAACAACAGCATTGTAAAGTATCTCTTTCCTTTCTTCTAGATTTGTTGGTGTTAATGCCTCTGACATCAACTATGCAGCTGGCCGCTATGACCCTTCAGTTAAGACCCCCTTTGACATAGGTTTTGAAGGTGTGGGTGAGGTGGTAGCCCTGGGCCTGTCTGCCAGTGCCAGATACTCAGTTGGCCAAGCTGTAGCTTACATGGCACCTGGCTCTTTTGCTGAGTACACAGTTGTGCCTGCCAACATTGCAACCCCCGTGCCCTCTGTGAAACCTGAGTATCTCTCCCTGCTGGTAAGTGGCACCACCGCCTACATCAGCCTGAAAGAGCTCGGAGAACTGTCTGAAGGGAAAAAAGTTTTGGTGACAGCAGCAGCTGGGGGGACAGGCCAGTTTGCCGTGCAGCTTTCAAAGAAGGCCAAGTGCCATGTAATTGGAACCTGTTCTTCTGATGAAAAGTCTGCTTTCCTGAAATCTATTGGCTGTGATCGTCCTATCAACTATAAAACTGAGCCCATGGGTACCGTCCTTAAGAAGGAGTACCCCAAAGGCGTCGACGTGGTCTATGAGTCCGTTGGGGGAACCATGTTTGACTTGGCTGTAGACGCCTTGGCTGCCAAAGGGCGTCTGATAGTCATTGGGTTTATCTCTGGCTACCAAACTCCAACTGGCCTTTCGCCTGTGAAAGCAGGAACATTGCCAGCCAAGCTGCTGAGGAAATCTGCCAGCATCCAGGGCTTCTTCCTGAACCATTACTTGACTGAGTACCAAGCAGCCATGGACCACTTGCTCAAGATGTGGGAAAGTGGAGACCTGGTTTGTGCGGTGGACCTTGGAGATCTGTCTCCAGAAGGCAGGTTCATTGGCCTGGAGTCCGTATTCCGTGCTGTCAGTTATATGTACATGGGAAAAAACACTGGAAAAATTGTAGTTGAATTACCTCACTCTGTCAACAGTAAGCTGTAAAAACAGAATAATGACATAAATCAAAGAAAAGAAAATGGGCACTTTATGCCTCAGAATTACTCAAATCAATTTATTTTTAGTTGGTAATGGATATATTTCTTTAAACAAAAGTAAGGTGTTAATGAAGGTTTCACTCTCCGTCTATCTTTTTGTTCCTCCCTTGGGAAAAAAAATGTGCTAATAAAACTTCTCTCGATGGCTAAGAGGTAAAATGTTTACATTCAGTTCTTTAGTCGTGGACAATCTCATTCCGGATTTTATTGTTCCAGGGAACTAAATGAATTCCTGATGCAAGATCTGATCAAATCAGTATGTCTTCAGCTTGATTTTCAAATCAGTCTTGGAAGTAGTTTGCAAATTCTTCTTTGTTGGGAGAATTTGGTCACATGCTAATCAGCCATCCCTAGGTGAGAGATGTAGAGAAAGTCAGCCAGACACACGTGTTCTGAGTCCATGTCCTCAGGAAATGGCCCTTGTTTTTTCTATAAGTCATTAAATATCTAAATAGAAATTTGTGGTAATCCCCCCCTAAAAATTTTGATTTTGTTATTAGAAAAATGATTTAGTGAACCCAGATGTATTTTAAAGAAGTGTCTATTATTTAATGGCTTTTATCTACCATCATCCTGGTGAGGAACATGTGAATGGAAAATCTCTTCCCTCTTAAGAAACAAATTAGTATTGAAAACTTATGTAGACAGAAAGCAGGTTAGGGGAACTGCAGAGGGGGACTCTATAAAATTAACAGAACGTTTCCCAGGAAAGGGGAAGGAGTGTGCTGCACTCCGAGTGAGGGTTCAGGTAACAAAACACAGGTCACAGAAGGGAAAGCACTCTGGGCACACCCACCGCCAGGGGTGAATGCCGTCAGTGTGCCTGGCACGGGATCGTATCGGATAGCTCTGGGCACCATAGGGACCCAAGTGACCTAAAATAACGATACATATGCTTCTCCTTAGAGGCTTTCAGGCGTGGAAAGACAGAATTCTGTGTCCCCATTTCACATCTCCAAATATTCTGGGGGAACGAGATGCTGGTTGTCACTGTCGCCTGATGTGAACACACAGCTCCCGCCCACGCGTGCAAAGCAGTGAGCCCTGTGCCTCCCCCCCGAAGCTCGTCCCTGGCCAACTTGCTTGCCTCCGCACCTCCCGTGCCCCAGCACTGCTGCTGCTCTCCTCCTTACACTGAAATCCCACATGCCTTTCTAATTGAAGGTGAAGCCCACCAGGTTATTTTCCAGAGGCTTGGGTTTCAGTGTATCTAACATGCTCAATTAATAGGAACGCAATTAAAGGTGCTCCAGGAAAGTTGGGGACCATATTTAATTTTTCTTTCCTTCCATCCAAGGAACAAGGAAACCCTCCCGCCGAATGGCTGTTAGTATCTATTTTACAAGATTTACTCATTTTCAGGTACCTAATGTAGCTGCTAGCATGCATGCACAACAATACAATTTATATGGTAAATGGAACCAAATAATGGCTTCACTGAATGTTATGGCTGCACTGAAGGGAAATGTCACGGTAAATAGCTGCCAAATTATGGATCATGCCGAAGTGTCACAACTGCACTAAAGACAAATAGCACTAGAGGCTATTGCCACTGTGACGTGTTTGAGTTATGAAGAAGGGTAGCAGCCCGATGTGGAGCGCTCTGTGTCCTCATTATAGCAAAGGGTTACTGGTACAGGGGACAAGGAAAGCTCGTCCAATGTGGTGCTTAGTTATTAATCTGTCCCTTTCAGACCTAACAGCTGTAGCAAAACGGAAAGAGACTTTCCCTCGCTTTAGACACACAAACAAACAAAGGGTTTTACAAATGTAACTGTGCACAGGAAGTGACTGGGAATGGGAAAATGTTGTAATAAAATTAATCAAAGAATATTATTAAATTTAACATAGTCTATGTCTGAAAGGCTTAGTTGCTTCTTATGCAGATAGATGTGTGAAATCTCAGCAGAGACGTACTTTCTCCCCGTGTGAGGACCCGAGGAGGCAGGACGTTCCCAACTAAATTGCTTCTTCTAAACCAAAGTGAGCCCCGGTTTCTTTCATTTTAATGGGAGGCTAATAAAGATGAAAGGCCAACATTTTAACTGATGGATCCCTTAAGCTACAGAATAGAAATTTATTATGTTTTCAGGGAATATACTAAACTCAGCTATGTAAAAATAAAATTCAAACACCCAGGTTTAAAGTAAAATATAATCTGAAAACCTCATGTTCCCCAAACTAAGAAAGCTGAGGGCATGCTGTTTTCATTTATTCTTAGAAAATAAGCATGAATGATTCCGCCCATTCAGATAATGCCAAAAATATGTTTAAACTTTTTTTTTTATTCTTTTGAAAAATGATTTGTAAATTGAGGGTCATAGTGCAGCGTCAGTTTCATCTTCCGGGATTACTGTTCGGGGTGAGCCTCCAGTGGAGGGTGAGACTGCTGTGGGCTCAACACCTTTCTTTGGGACTGTATTACATATCATGAGAAGTGCATCCATAATTCAGGGCAATTGTCTTTGTTTTAGAGAAGGGTCCGGGGTAGAACAATCACAGTAGATAAATTATTTCTCAGTGCTCAGTGTGCTTCTCTGCACACCCGGCTTAAGGTCATTGGCCGGGCAGGGTGGAAGGAGCCCACCAGTCCCTTACCGTTGGGTTATAACTTCTTAAGAGCCAAATGCTCTTCCTTCAAACCTGGGAAAAATACCAACAGTGTCATTTTGGGTAGTGAATGCTTTTGCTTAACTGATTTCAACATTAAAAAAAAAAAATCCAGGGAATAGTTTGCAAAGACGTGGTGGAAGTTTTGCATGATATGTTCTATAAATTGTGATTCTGTGATTTCATCTGAATGAAGTTTCTCCAGAATGGAACAGCTCCTCTGTAAATGGTCATTAGTATTACATTCAGTGTTTATCTAATGAAAGCGCAGTGACAAGTAGCTGCTTCTTATTAAAATGAAAATCTTGCATCATGTACTTGAGGAACATTCCAGCTAATGAGGATGTAACATCCTCGGTACAACACAGGCCTTCTTTTTGTGCTCATACCACAAGATACTGGAAACGGGGCAGATGATACCACTGAAGACACATGCCTGCTTAGGGATCTATTTTTTGGATTTCTGCTCCTGGCTTTTGTTTGGGTAACATTGACAATGGTCACCTACTTGTACGTAGGTAATGTTTTTAACCCGATTCGCATGAATTTACTACAGTCTGGCTTTCCTTTAAAACAAGGTTGGTGCTAAATACTGAAAATGTTTCTCTTGATCACTTTACCACATAGGCATATGGGACAAATACCATATTTTAGACATATATAAAAACACAGGAGCTATGTGCAGCTTTCAGCATGAACACAATGAAAGACAAGCACTGTCACCTTCCGATGATAATTTCCTCGATGCTACAGGTGTTGTGAACACAACTCAGACACAGAATGGCCTGAGTCAATGGACTCACAGTCTCTCTTTTCTGCGTGTTCTGTCTTGTTTTGTTTAATACTTTATTGCACTGAGTACTTATTTAAAGACAAAAGACTTTTCCATGCCAATTTCATGGGCTTTTTTTTAAGGTACATTTTCTGTAACTAATTTCTTGGTTATGGCCCAGAATAAAATGTTTAGGATCAAATTTCAAAAGTCAAATGCAAAACTGGATTATCGATACCCTTAGTATAGTCATTTTAAACTTCGAATGCTGTTTTTACTAGATGTTTAGCATCAAATTTTTTCACCTCATAAAAAGAGGAATGCTTGGCATGAGAATCTTATTGCTGTTACCATGGAGAAACTATGGAACCTTGGCCAAAAAATAAATAAACAAAAATTATATAAAACATAAACAACTAACGCGCATCAATTCAAGTGATTCTCGGTGGTCGACAGTTGAAGACTCAGAGAAGATCAAGGAAGATGCTTGAGTCTTCTGTTTGAGGTTTTCACTAGCACTGAGTAGCTAGTGAGATGTGGCAGCAAGATTAAAGGAGACCTGTGTCCACACTGACCCGGCACTGGCTTGTGCCCATCACAGACTCACCCTTCAGTGCTAACTCACCACGTCCCAGGAGACAGGCGTGTCCTTGGGAAGCGTGTAGGGCCAGCACTATGTGACTAGTTTGGGGGGACCAATAGGTGTTTCAGGGAGAAATCCTGCTCCGGAAGTGCAGAAATTTGAACCCAGGCCCCTCCGAAGTAAAAGCTTCTCTTGAAGGACACTGACAGCATCTATCCATCTGCCAACATGAAATTCAATGAATAATTAAAACACTCCCTGCTGACAAGTGGTAGCATCAGGTAAGAAAGACAGATTTGTGCTCAGAGCTCAGGAAAAGCGTCCGCCAAGTTGCTAGTTACTGTGCCTTATTCTCTGCACGGGAAGAGCTGGACAGAATCTTAGAAGGACTCGCATGAACAGTGTTTTGGTCACTGAAAGATGAAGAAACATGCTCAGAAAATGAAAGGAGTCCCACTCAGAAGAGCACTTGCCTGGCACCCTGCATGCTGACGCCTTGGGGACCCTGCAGACCTGCTCCCGGGGTAGCTGTAGCCTGCAGATATTGGGAACTAGAGGAGCCTGCATCCCTCTCTGGCTCGTGTAAATGAGGAGACCTCATTGCCCCTTAAACAGCAATATTTGGGATTTAGGGAATAATCTAGTTATACCCATTTTACATAGTGTAAGTGAAGAAACTGGGACCCAGAAAGATCAGCTGCCTTGTTCCAGGTCACAGAGTCTGCTGGGCTCGCAAGTGACGCTGGAACACAGGTGGGCTGCATACCCAGCACCTCTGGCCACCTCTCCAGCATCCTTTCTATCATTTGTCAAGGGCCCTCAGTATATGACCAACTAAGAGTGTTACAGAAAAATAAGTGACCTTTGTTATAAATCTTTTTGTGAATGAGATGATGGTAACTCCAATAAAAGTATCACAGTTCTGGCCACAAAATGTGTCAACTCCTTAATCCAGCATAAATTAGGATTCAGATAATTTGATTCCCTGTGATCTAAGTATCACGATCCTTTGAAGAGAGAAAAACACTCAAAGGAATGAGTGCCAACAACTGAGTTTTAATGTATAAGGAAGATCTCATCGCCTATCAATGTATTCATGTGTATCAAATGAAGAAAATCACACATGGACCTTTCATGCGTTCGTTTCCTAGAATGACTTCACCTGCTTGTTTTTGCCTGTAGAAAGCTGATATCTGACCATCACAGTCTTTGCCTTCAGAGAAAAATATCTAGAATGTGAATTTGCTGTTCCACTTGAAATGGAATTCTGACTCGTACAGACTCAGCTCCTTGGGGGGGGATGGATTTATTCACCAGGGGCAAGAAGTATTTGAAGGTGAAGGGGATACGTGTGGGGAAGACATCAGTGGGTCCATGTCTCATCCTCACATGTGGCAAGAATCACATACTCTGCACAAGTGACAGATCATAATTAAGGCTCAGAAACCAGCCCTTCAGAACCACATGACATTGAACATTCACATCTTTCCTCATCACTTCTGCCTTCCTTCCCTCGAACTCATGCATAACAAACGTAAACTTTCAACTTTACATGAGCAAATCCTTTCCCAATAGAAACAGTGTCTTTTAACATTGAAAAGCCACTTCACAGGAACGGCAACAATGTCAAAGGCAATCACATTGTGTAGAAAACCTCATTTCTCACCGGGGACTGGTAGCAATCGTGTTCTTCTATATGTTGCTGGAATTTACATTTGGAAATTGAATTGTCTCCTTGAGGGTTTTTACTCAAAGTAACTTTTGGAGAATTACTTACATCCAGGTACATCAGGATACAAGGAATGGGGGTGAGCTGAAGGAGCCCCAGTACCACCCTGCCAGGAAGAGGTGCTCACACTCCAGCAGCAGTAAGTCAGCACACCTCCATTATTGTTATCGAGGAACGTTTACCATTTCAGCATTGACACATGCTTTCACAGCACCTGGCAACTTATTTGACATATCTGATCACAGTGCCACTATCTTTCCCTCTTTACTATTGAACAGGTGAAGATGAATGATTTTCATTTTAGAGATGGAAAAATTAAAGCATAGGAAAATGACTTGCCCAAGATCACTTAATCACTGGCTGAACAGAGACAGGGGCCCACAGACAGTTCTCAGATCAAGGCTGCTTTTCCCTGGAGTGGGGTGCTGCTCAGACCTTGGAGCATACACACGATACCTGTCCAAATGCTGGTCCTGGTCCCCAAGGTCCAGGGTGGGGCCCAGGCACCTGCAATCCCCCACTGATGCGGGTGCCGCCAGCCCAGGGACACACTTTGGGAAGCAAGATTACACTGGCTTTGAAGAGATCCCCTTCATGTGAATGTTACTGTCTTTGCATTACTATTATTATTGTTGCTTAATATTTCATTGCAGAAATCGTCTGACTTCTTTTCTGAATCTTCGTTCGGAAGATTCGTTCTGAATCTTTTCTTTTCGAATCTTCGTTCGTTCTTTATGAGGTTTTTGTTTCTAGTCCTTATCTTAAACATTGTTATTGTTGTTAAATTTTAAGCCTTTTAAATTTTGTGACGGCAAAAAGTAGAAACCTAATAAACACATGTATATGTAAAAATTAAAAAAATAATAAATTTTAAAAAAAGAGAGATTCCCTTTATACAAAATGCTGCTTTATCAGACATCTTGGAGCAACCTGCAGGCCGCCTAGGTATGTGTATAAATTGCAAAAAGAAGGGTTTGATGTAACTATGAAAATGGCTTTTTAAAATCACATTTCCAACTTCTTTAAAGGTTGAGAAGGCTTCTGGAAGCCTGCATATCTGATTCTCAGAAGGAAGTCCAGACTCAGAGCTGCTCAACCGCAGGAGACCAGCAGGCCTGGGCCTCTGCACCCACTGCCAGTCCAAACAGAGGCCCAGCTAAAGGAA